CCATAGTTTCATAGACTAGTCAATACATCTTTAATTATTGTTTAACCAGTTAGTTGAAAAACTCGAATAAAATAGCATCATAGAAATAGGGATCAAATGACATTAACAAGTAGCATATTGATGTTGTTCATAATTGTGTTATTACTTATATTATTAATCTATAATAAATTAATATCATACTAAAGATTGACTTGCACATAAATAGTCAACAAAAGATTTTTATTAATATTGTTAGCAAAGATTTTCTAGAGGGAGCTAAAAACAAGTTTTATGTGAGTCTAAAAAATTACTTCAATACAATGAAAAACTAAATACCTATCAAAGTATAAGTATAACATGTAAATTAAACTAATAACAATACAATCTATGATCTAATCATCAGTGATAAGGTGTAGGATTACAACTAGGTATATTACTATGTATCAAATATTTGCAAATAAACTATCCAACTACCATGTTAGTTGCCAATATTCTTCTTTGATATAATAAATATTTAGGATTTTTTAATTTTTACTATTTTATATTATATTTTGAAATCATATTTGAAGTTAAAATTAAATATCTTTACTAATAATAATAATTTATTATGTTTAGCAACCAAAAATGATTACTAATGTTGAACAATTCAATCAATCAAATTTACATTAGAATGAACTAAGTCAATGGATGTAAAATCTATTGTTGTATTATGATTATATATGTGCTAGAAGAGCAGAAATAATAATGCTAAAGCTTTGTCTTATCAACAACAACCATTAAGTATTAATCATTGTATTACTTAACACAAATCTAGATAGTATTTTTTTTCATTTTTTTGTAGCATTTACAATATAAAAATGTAAAAATAATAAACTGTTACATGTATAACAAAAGACAACATATTAAATGATGATTAGTTATTGCAATTATATGGTTGTATTGTAATACTACTAATGATTTTAGAAACACTATTTTAATTGTTAGTGATAATGCAACATCTATGATGTCCTAACTATCTTTTTTAAGTGACAAAGAACTTTGTTGTTACTCATTAAAAATTAATATTGATATTTGAAAACAATTATTAATCATGTTAATCAAAATATATATGATGTAAGCATCAAACTTATACAAAATTAAAAAATTTAAAAGTTTAATGTAGAAAAAAAAATGAAATATGTTTTGATAATCAAATTAATTTGAATTGGTTCTATTTCAATTCAAAAACTAATCTAATCATTTCAAAGATTATACCAAATCAATTTGAATCATGTTCAATAAGAAAAAAATTAGTTTGACTACTTTGAGTTCATTTGCTATTTCTATGTCTATTAGTAGTATAATTTTAGATTTGATAGACATTGGTTGTTAAATATTTTCTACCATACATGCTTAACAAATAACTTATATATTTAAAAATAAGAAAAATAAGAATTGATATGTTTTAAATTTAATATAATAATTAATAATATTTATTAATCAAAAATAGATAAGAACATAATTAACTAAATGATAGAATAATTTAAATAATTATTTTGAAACTCTTGTTATTTTACAAGAACCTTGTTTTTAAAAACTATTCCATTTAAGTGCAATATGCAAAGCTATATAAAAGTGTGTATGTATGTATGTATGTCTATATATATATATATATATATATATATATTTTCACGTTTATATTTATCTGTACAAACCACCAATGTCATAATTTTATCATCCCTTAGTAAGTTTTTGCTTCAATTTATTGTAAGACACAAATGTTGATATTTTTTATTCAATATGATTTTTCTTTTATAATATGGTTTTTGTGAAGCCTCAATTAGTGTTTTTTATATTCATATTATATGTGTTGAGATGTATATTTAATTTTGTGAAATTAACATAGGTATTTACTTTGTTCCATTGATGTTCCAAAACACGTCTTTTTAAGGACACTTTGAAAAAAATAATGGGTTGGTTCAACTTTTATGCAATATTGTACATATCTTCATCAATCAAACATATTTTCATTTCTATTATTTTTTTATAAATGAATTAGATAAAATATTATTATTTATATTACTATGATTTTTTAAAACATATATATATATAAATATATATATATATATATATATATAACAAAAAATCAAACAAAAAACTAGTTGAAATTTAATTTTTCAAATAAAGAAAAAGCACCATGACACCCCAAATTTCAACAAAAATACATGAAATGGAAAACCTCCTCCAATCAAAGAGCTCGCACATTTTCATTGATGGGCGCCAAGTGTTGGTGTTGTTATTATTATTCTTATTCTTTTTCCTTTCTGAGGTATGGCGCAAGCTAAAAGCTGTGGATAAAAAGGTAGCTCCGTTCACATTGAGCCCAGGTGAGCGTGTGGGGGGGGGGCACGGATTGGGGAACGGGGACGGCGGGACGGAGGAGAACACGTGGGAACGTGGCACGCACTTTGGGAACAAAAACCTGGTCCACAATATTCCGCGTCCCCAAACCTCCTTTGACACCTCACATGCAAGCTCGGGCTCCCAAATCCCTCGGGTCGGGTGCTCAAGCCCGGCCCGCCCCGGCCCAGAATGCCGTGGCTCAACGCTTTATCATCTCACTTGTTTTGATGGCCTTTGGTTATTAGTTTCAAAACGAGTAATGTTTCAAGAGACATAGCGAATTAAAGATTATACATATATATATATATATATATACACACACACACACATACTCACACATACATAATTTTTCTTTTCTTTTTAATGCCAAGTGAACAGATATATGGACTAAATCTTAGGTTCCAAGTCCATGCATAGTATCTTTAAAAAGCTGTTGGTTTTTTGAAGAAAATTCGACCTTGGGTGCACATATTTTTTTTAAATCAAGGATTTATTTCAGTTATTTATCATTATTAAAATAATACTGAACATAATAGATTATAGTTCAATGATATACATACTTGTTTAAGGCTGTACATTTTTTTTAAAGTTTTCTGAAATAACATTTGAAAGTAAACAATGATCAATAGTATGAAGCTCAGATTCACAGAGATATTTTAATACACAACCCTTTCTTTTTTCTTTTTCAAGTATATTAATATACATGATAAAAATCCAACTCCAAAAATGTGTTTTTTTTTCTGATCGTTGTTTAAAAAATCCAATGATGTATACATATATACACACACACACACACACACACACATATATATATATATATATATACACTCATACTTGTGATTTGGTATTGGATCAAAGCATTATATTTCGTGGCACTTTGCTGCTGATAGATATTCCTAAAATTATATAGACTTATGTCATATTTATATAAATATATATTTTTTAAAATAAACATCTTCAGTAGTTATTTTAATGTTATTATTTTTCGATTTGAAACATTTCTTCAATTCATGACCTATGATATTATTTTAAAAAATATCTTATTAATTTTCTAATTGTACAGCAGAACTCAATGAAGTTAATATATATATATATATATATATATAGATTAGACTCATCTAAAAACAGTAATGAGAGCTGTATCAGTTTCAAATTTTTATCCCTTTTATTCCTCATTTATATTCAGAAAATCAACGATTGTTTTGGCCACAAACACGTTCTTTTTCTTTTATTTTTTCTTGAGGATTTTGACCTTTATGCACTTGAATAAATCATAAGAAATTATAACTTCTGATAACAGCACCTAACCTTAAACATGATTAATTCTGATTTGGAAGTTTTGTGAGATCATTTTAAGAATATATTTAGCATGCACAAATTTGTTTGGACTTAATACATATTTTATTTGACATTATATATATATATATATATATATATATCTTTTTTTACCATTTTATAAAATACCATAAAACATCATTAAACATATTAAGTGAAATATATGTATGTATGTATGTATGTATGTATTAAATTAAATTAAATGAGAAGTTTCAATGATGAAAATGAAATGATGTAAAACTTGTGTGAACCCAGTCATAAATCATCAATAGTACAAATATTGGTTTATGTAACCTTATAATAGCTTTTAGAACAAGTTTAAATTTGAATTTGGACTCGTTATTACCAAAACTAAACATTTGCTCATAGAGAAGTTTTCAAAGATAATATCCTACAATTGCTTGGGCTTCATTTGATTTGACTTATGAATTCCTGAAGTCATCTAGAAGGTTGATTTCCCCTCAAAGATGTGTGTGAAACGACCTATAAATGTAACAACCACATGTTTTTAAATACTAATTCTAATGATGTAACAATATTCCAATTCTTAGGCCTAAAACGATTTAGGTTATTTATCATAAATTTTGAATAAGTAATAACATATGATTTTTTTTTTACATAAAGACTTTAAAAGGAGTGGATGTGATCCATGATGATTGGAAATCATTTATGTTGAGAAAGCTTTAAAAAATAATGATATATTCCATATAAGAACAATATAGCAATTAATATATATTAGGAATCATCATCGAGAGAAAATCATATAATAGATTTCTAATAATTTTTGATGTGATAAAACACTATTCAAATCTTATAAAAAATATGGAGCTTTATTGACCAATACATTGAAATAAAATATTTATCTATGAAGATGATTATTCTCTCTCTCTTTATATATATATATACACATAGAGAGAGAGAGAGAGAGATTTATTTTGTAACTTTCCAACAATTGGATTAAAAAAATAATATTGTGTAAACACAAAAAAAAATCTTTTCTAATCTTCGTGTATGTGTACATATTGCCACCTCGAACAGACCACGAAAAGGAGTGGCTCTAGATTCAAAACTCCCCAAGAGGAAGATTCTTCAGAATCTTCTAGAACGGATGATTTGACGGGACCCGTTCACACTAGGGACACGGAGATCGGCTTTCGTTAGAAGGAGCGGTACAGAAGATGTAAGAAGTGGACTGTACTAGAGGAGGAGGGGGTCGGGTCGGGCCTAGCCGGGCCGGGCCGGGTCGGGCAGGGGGCCATGAGAGGAGATGATATCCATGAATGTGACCATAGTCACGGCCTCGTCTTCTTCTTCCCCTCCTTTTGTGCTTCTTTGTCTCGTGCGTGAGTGCGTGCGTGCGTGTTTCGAGTCCCCTTCGCTTCCCTTCCTACTCGAGAGACAGCCGTGTGCGCTCAACGCCGAAGGTGCGCTGTCACGTTACTGCGGCGGATGAATTAGCACGTCGGTTTGAACGTCTCGGAGCTCGGTTGGGTGACGGAACACGCCTTCAGCTGGATGCCAAAATCTGGAAAACCTATGGTGCTGAGTGCCATTGGCGGTGGTACCAGATTCGGGAGCGCTGCTGCAGGTGGGAGTGCTCTCCTTCTCTAGTCTCTTCTCCTTCTTCTTCTTCTCCGCCTTCTCCTGCGTTTGGGCGCTTTGGTTGTTGTGGCCGGTGCATGGTTATGCTGGTTACTTGGAGGTGCTTGCTTCATCCGTTTCGATCAGTCGGAGTGTGGTGAGATAAACACAGAGAGAGAGAGAGAGAGAGAGAGAGAGAGAGAGATGTGCGAAGAGGTATGTGCAGAGTGATTGTGACTAGCTTTGGAGAGTAATAATAAGTTATGTATGCTGATTTGAATGGTGGTGAAGTTGCAAATAGTAGATTCCTGCGCTCGGACTGTCAAGTGCAGCTTCCTTTTCGTTCAGTTTGAAATCTCCTTTGAAAATTTGCCTTTTTTTTTTTTTGGTCTTTTTGATTTGTTCCCCTGTTTTTTTAATTTTTTAATTCTTTTAAATCCTTCTTCTCATTGCTCTTTCCTCTTTCCTCACAGTTCCTCACAGTTCCGCTTTATCGTTTACCATCTCGAGCTCCTGAGGTGGATTCGTCGAGGCTTGATAGTATATGGAGATCTTGATGGAGTTTCTCTGCACTGCCAGTCGTCCCTGGCTTCCCTCATGGGCTCACTTTGATATCCGACAGCTGTATCCTATCAGGGTTTCAACCTTCATTAGTAGGAGACGAGGAGACTTGCAGTGTTTAGTGCATCTTTTTTTTTTGATCCCATACTGTTTTGTCCCTAAATCCATTTCTTCGGCAGTTATTCTTTAAAAGTTAAAGTTAGTGGCAAGTCATACCGTGTTGGCTTATGTATGGAGGATTATGCTTTCCTATTAAATTATACGGAATGTAAATTAGGGAGGAAGGGGCTGTCTTCATCATTACTAGAATTTCTCTCACTGCAGTACATGTTTTTGAACCAGTCGTAATGTTGCTACTCTAGGCGTAAGTCTGTGCTATTTTCTCTCCTTTTCGATCTTTTGCATGAACCATTCATCTACAGAAACACCTGTTCCTGTATCAAAGACAGGTTTCGCAACCCATCTCTCTGCTTCTCTCTCCATTAATCAAATTTTGCGTGCACGAAACGTTTCTCTTTGTTGTAAACGTAGACTTTCAATTGAGACGCACTTTTAAGCAGTCAGTTTTACATACAACTGTCGCTTTTGTCTGTCAAAGCAGAGTACGAGTCAGAGAGGATGGCTACTTTTATTGCTGACGTGAACCTTGATCGCGGCAGGAATGTGAGCTGATGTGGTGAGTGCGTTAAGAAGCGTCAAATGATCCTTTAGATATTTACTCGGGAATAGGCTTAGGGCCATTGAGAGCGGGTCAAATCGGGTTTAGGTTTTGGTTGTGGCAGTCCTGTACCACAGCTCTAGTGTGGAAGCTGTATGAACGTCCTGTCTGAAGAGTTTCTGCTTCTTATGAAGATTGTAGTTATCTCGACGCGTGTTTAATTCAGCTTTAGGTGTGGAGTAGTATGATAGATGGACTGTGATCAACGGAGGACGATCTGTCTATTAAAAATTTGAATAAAGGGTTTATGACTTTTCAGATGTTCCTTCAGTTTAAGGACTGAGATTGGCGATCTGAGACCTATTTTGGCATTCAACAGCATTAGGTTTTCCAATTCAAGCGTAGAAGCCATACATGATAGATGGTCGTGAGGGTGCCACGATGATCTGATATACAATGTACTGATAACAACGTCTTTTTCTGTGGTGAAACTGCAGGAACCGCGGTTATGTGCTCTCTTGAATGATGCACCACTGGTGTTATCATGTGCAACCTGTGTGATCATTTGTAGCTCTGTGTTTTACGTTGTTGAACGTGTACACAAGCTGGGGCAGGAATGGGTGGTTGCGAGTTGACAAATCTTTTCACATGGAATGCGTTCGGCTGGCCGAGTGCATCTATCATCCACGCGGAAGCAGTGACTTCAATGTGCTATCCACGGTGTGAAGAAGTTGTGTAATATTTGGGGTTGAGGGATTGCGAAGCATAAAAGGATACTTTCTATGACAGATCACAACGGCGTCGCATAACATGATTCCGCAAAGGCGTTCATTTTATACGGAATCAGCATCTTCACGAAATCAGTTGGAACAACTGAATACTAGGGGATGCTGCTGCACTGTTTAGCTTGGTTGGCTCCAAGGCAGGTTTCTCACCAGGAACATCTTCGACCACTATTGTTCTAATTGGAATATTCTGCGACATACTTCGATGTATGACACGCGCGCGGGATTTCACTTGTTTTTGACTCCGGCTACTCATGTTCACAGTTGTGGCGAGGAGGCTTCTTCTCTACTCTCCTGTTATGGTTTGAATACTTGGCTCAATTTATAGGTTGGTGCAATGGTCTGGTCATATTCCTAAGGTTTTCCCGCCGAGGTGCTCACACTTGGCTTTACTGAAAGTCCATGTCGACACTCTATCTATTCCAGTGGAAACAAGTTGGGACAATTTTCTCATCTACCTAGGCTACAACGTTCTCGTCTTCAGGACCGGAGGACTTCCAATGACGCTTGAATCCCCACTCAGGTCAGGAACAGCAATTTCTAATGTCCATCTGAGTAAAGTTTTGCTAATGTGAATCTTACTACAATTGATTGTTAGAAAGGTGTATTGTGGCATGAGGGATGCATGTAAATTTCAGCTTTAGAATATCGCAGTTTCTGTACACAAGTCATGAGGTTGAAGAAGCATTGGGATCATGTTAAAATGTTACATAGGTGCTGTCATTACAATCGCCGTAATTCGTTTTGATTTAAAGTTTATCGACATTCAAAGAAACTGAATGTGTCGAGCACATTGTAAATCCTCGGAATGTGTCGGGACAGATCTCTGGTAACGCGTAGCCGCTATCAGATGATATTAAAGGGGGTCATTAAAGCTGTTCTATTTCTTTGTTTGTAATTTCTAGGTCATTCTCTCAAAGTATCACACTCAATGAGGGCAAGCGTTACTTTACCAATCCTCAAAATATTCCAACACTCGTAATTTCAATTCCTCCGTTTCGTTTCTGAAGAGTTTAATTATTTCTTCTTATATAGAATAATTTTTGAGTACTGCAGACTGAGCATGGACTGATGAATGATCTTGTCCTTGAAACAGGTTTGTATTGATGTTATAGTTAGTCGAGGGTAAACAAGCAAGTTATTGCAGTGTGGGCATGATGCCTTCTTGGCTGGATGGGTCAAGGGGATCCTCATCTCCTTCAACATCCAAATCAAACCACCAATCCCCACCATGTGCCCGATATCATCCATACGCCCGGAAGCAACAATTGTACGGCCTTGTCACTTGAATCTGGAAAACTTAAAAGTCTTGCACTTATAGTTTGTATTGACTACATTTTCTGTATCTAAATGTCTAGCACGTGCTCTTTGTTCTTGCCGAAACCTACACATCCTTTTGTTGTTGCCAGTATATATATAGCCGTTTAATATTTTTTTTTCCTGATTTTGTGTCCTGCGTCTTAAGCATCTATTTCATGATGTAAATTGACCCTATATTTATGATTCTTCACAGAGGTGGAAATGTAACGAGGTTGCTAGCATTGAGGGAGGTCGCACCCAGTGTTAAACGACCTGCAAGGTGGCTGTGGGGGAAGGCTGCTTCTGGAAGTGCAGTTCATGCAGGGCCTCGGTTGGAATCAACCAGTGCGAAATTGGCAATCACTTCATGGTCAGTTTTCTATTTGCTTCTACACTAAATACTGGACAGAACACAGAATCTCAGCCTATCGCGTTTTCTAAATCATTGTTCTAATGAATGATTCAGGCTACCTTACAGTCACTCGCTTACCTACCATCCATGTCTTGTTGCAGTGAGTTATTGCATCTACACCATACTGATTGTATTTACTTTGTATTTCTACATTAAAATTGAAGTGTCACCTCTTGTACTAGGTTCCAACCTTTTGCTTCATATCAAGCGATACTGATAAAACTTTTGCATTCCTTAATTGTCCAACTGAACTGATGTTCTCAAGTTATCGAACTTATTGAGTACATTATAGGTATTCGGAAAATTAGCTTTCACCTGCCTCATTGATCCTGTCTCCCAAATTACCATGCTCAAATTGCTAGGGTGTCATTGACGTGGCGCTGCTGAATGTTGATCGCTGCAAGCAGCGCACTGTCCCTAAATCGGACATTTGAATGTGGTTATGATCTAGGTTCGTGGTTATGAATTTGGATTTCAGTTTGGGTCTTGTGATTATCAACTGACTCGCACATGTTCTACAGGGTGGAGGCTGAATCGCTTCGTTACTGCACTGCTAAATATTGCCCTCTACAACCAGCTCCGCGGTCAACCATAGCAGCTGCTTTCAGCCCTGATGGCAACACCTTGGCTTCTACACAGTAATTGCCTAAGCTATCCTTCGTCTTTCTGCAGCTGCACTGCTCCGTGGAAGAATGTGTGCTACAGGCATAGCATTAAATAAACTGACCTTTTCTTACTTCCAGTACACTTCTTTGTTGGGGTCATAAGTTAGGGTTCAACTAGAGCTGCACTGAAGTCTCACGCCACATCGTAATTGTTTATGCTGATCCTTACCCTAATTAATTTCAAATGCTTTGTGTAGTGGCGATCATACAGTGAAAATCATCTGCTGCAGAACTGGGCAATGTTTGAAGGTTCTAAGTGGACATCGGCGAACACCATGGGTGGTAAGTAATGGCTTTTGTGTCTTCCAAATTCGACCCTGTTTGGAAATCATGATAATCATATCAACGCGTCCTTGAGATCTTCACTCATTTTCTGAAGCTGTGAAGTGAATGAAGTCTGAAAAAGTTGGGTTGGCCAGCAGTTAATTTATTGCAATGTTATGTATTTTTGTAGGTACGTTTTCATCCAGCAAGCTCAGAAGTGCTAGCTAGTGGGAGCCTTGATAATGAAGTGCGGTTATGGAACGCCAATACAGCTGAATGTGTTGGTTCTCGAGATTTCCGTGAGCATCTCTAATATTTTTAATTAATATTTGTATTCTGTACGTTTATTTCTCAAGTTTACACTGCTGGAAGCTGATACTATTTCAGTGAACTGTTGTAAGCAAGTCGTTGCTGCGTCTTTAAGACACTATCGTTTGTTGCTGTTATTGTTATTGTTGTTTCTATTATTATTATTATTATTATTATTTATCTCAAGTACTATTTAATTCTTGGGCTTTTGAAGTGATTCCATTTGAAGTAGTTCTTGCACTGTTGAACTTCTCTCTTGCAGGTTGGAGTACATGACTCGTTGTTTAGTTTTTGGTTGGCGAATTTGTTTCTAATAGATATTTTTGTTGTGGCGTTTTTGTCGTGCAGACCGACCAATAGCTTCACTTGCCTTTCATGCTCAAGGAGACCTGCTCGCTGTTGCATCCGGACATAAGGTATAATTGTGTTTCATTTCAGGTCTTTTAGGCTTTTTTCAATATACGATAAATTAACCCCTCTGATACTGTTCTAAGCGTTATATATGCCCAAAATCCAACTAGTTAATTCGTGTTTCTACGCTGACATGAATCGGATTCTCTTCTTTCTTTCTTCTCTCTTTTCTTTTCTGTTTTTTATCCGTGTCATATCACTGTTCATCTAAGACAACTTTATCTTTGTGTAGCTGTATATATGGCAGTTCACAAAAGCAGGAGATGTTTCACCGACCATTGTTCTTCGGACTCGCAGATCTCTTCGTGCTGTTCATTTCCATCCACTTGCTGCTCCATTCTTACTTACTGCAGAGGTGAATTGATTACTTTTCTTTCCTCCACAGCCACTTTCTGTTACAACCTCGCTACTCATGTGCGTTTGTTCTCCTTACTTGGCTCACAAAATCTTCGTAGGTACTAATCACGAGAGGTGTTTTAACAGGTAAATGATTTGGATTCTCCAGACTGTCCAATGACTCTAGCCACATCACAAGGCTATCTGCACTACCCACCCCCAGCCATTCATTTTACTCCGTCCACATCAAGCACTCTATTACCCAACCACTCTGTATCAAACCAAGTATCATTTGTGCCACTACCCAGTTGGTTTTGGCCGGTGCTAACAACTGGCTCAGACCTGATATTTCAAACGGATCTTCCTACAGCCGTTGAGGCTGGAGATGACGGCAATGTAAACTTTGCAGAAGACAGCACAAGTCCAATTGCTGAATCAGAGCTGAATGTAGATACAGGTAGGCCCTCGCTTATGACGGAACTCCAATTTCCTGATTTTTCGTCGCCTGCCCCTATGGACATCTCGCCTCGACCTGTTCACGATGATGTTTTTGGAGACTCTACTGCCAACGATGTCTCAACCAGCGGCCGAGAACCTCTAGAAGAAGGCGAAATATTGGAAAACAATGAGTCAATAAATGACTTTAACTCCCAAAGCAGATTAAATGCACATGATCGCATCCGTGGAGCTCCTTGGGAAATAGGAGGTTCTACCTCTCATCCCGCTTCGATACCACCAGCTGGGTATAGTAATACAGCCTCAACTAGGGGTCCTTCAAGCATTCCTATTCCTATTCCTTCTTCTACGTCTCCTCGACAGGATAGTGGGGGTGCAGCACTTGGACCAGCCGTGTGGCCTATGAGTGCTTTTCCAAACCTGAACACTCAAATGCTGGGAGGAGCTTCTGGGGGAATACCATCTTTCCAGAATTTTCTTCCAGTGGGAGAGTACACAGGATGGGAGCTACCGTTTCTGCATGGATGGGTTCAAGGCCAACAAGCGCAAGCTGGGACAGCTCCATCAGTGGTCCCGTCAACCGTTCCTGTTTCTGGGCCTTGGCAAAGTGCTCAGGAACAGCAGCAGCAGAATGCAGCGATATCAGTTGCCTCTGTTGCAATTGCAGCAGCAGTGGCTGCTGCAAGGACAGCTGCTCGAGCAGGTGCAGGTGTGGTTGGAGCACCAAACGCTGGAATTGGGGCTGATATTGGAGCTGGTAAGTTCTGTGCTCCTAGAATCTCTATCCACGTGTTAGAATTTGTGTCATGCAAACCGTTGATGAAGTTATCTAGTGTTTAGTTGCCTTTCAAGTGGCTGATGGTTCCGCAGCAGGATCAGGGGTTAGTTCGCGAATGGGTTCAAGTCATGGCATAACTATCCCTGGAAGAGGAGGTGCTAACATTGGTGCTGCGGAGGCGGCGGCTGCGCAAGCAGCAATGGCAGCCGCTGCTGCTGCAGCCGAACTTCCATGCACTGTAAAGTTGAGGATATGGCCTCATGATATTAAGCGTCCTTGTGCAACATTGGATCCTGAGACATGTCGCCTGGTTATTCCTCATGCTGTGTTGTGCAGGTAATTTCTAGTACAGTTCCTTGCTACGAAGTCGTCATTTAATGTGTGAATGAGGAGCATATTTTGAAGAGAATGGCTCTGTTAGGAAACTTCTTGAAATATTGTAACTTCTTGAAAAATTTGGTCATGGTATATATCAACATTCTTAGTGTCAAGACGCTCTTTGCAATTTACACCCTGAAATTCCTCTTGACTTGAGATTTTGCAATCTTTTGTGTTTATCTGTAACATCTTCGCGTGTTGAATATTGTGTGGTTCGTGAGCAGTGAAATGGGTGCGCACTTTTCACCTTGTGGTCGATTTCTAGCTGCGTGTGTTGCCTGTGTGTTGCCCATGGCGGATTCTGATTCACGGCGTGGGAATACGACGGGTTCACCAGCTCCTGGATCGTCAGCTCATTCTCCTACTCAACACCCAATTTCCTCACAGCAAGTCATATATGAGTTGCGAGTGTACTCACTTGAAGAGGCCACGTAAGTTTTTGATTCTAGTTGTAACCCATTCGTACCCCTCTGTTGCGGTTCTCTTTGTAATCCTCATTATTCAATGTCCCGTTACTTTTAACTCAAATCGTCTGAATGAGTTCAACACGGTACGCCCATAAACATAATGTTTGAAGTGCATCCGATCTATCTTCGTTTGCCCGGCCATGTTTGATTTTATGTTTGTAGGGTCTTGATCATTTGTTGGGAATCCAGAAGCTCTTCCAGCTGGAAGATATGTATGCTAATGACGTTCTTCATTTAGGCACCATGAAATGATAAGCTTGTTATTCCTTTTGTTCTCTTGAAACTAGATACCACATGTTCCTTAGTATTATGTCTTGTGGCTGTGATTTTAGCTCCGTCCCATAATCTGTACATGTTGATATTCCAGGTTTGGACAAGTGCTTGCTTCAAGAGCTGTGAGAGCTGCCCATTGCCTTACTTCAATCCAGGTTTGTTGATTTCATCTTATTCACGATGGTGTTAATCGAAACAATTCAAGTTCTCATCATGCTTCTTAGCTTCTGCAATATAGCCCTGCAGATTATATTAGCACTTCGTAGCATATTTTGCTTAACATGCTGATGTCACTTTTTGACAGCTTCTATCTGTGGTTCTGAATTTGCAGTTCTCACCTACCTCAGGTCACATATTGCTTGCATATGGTAGACGCCACAATTCACTTCTTAGAAGCCTTGTCGTGGACGGCTCAGCAACTATTCCAATTCGAGTGTACACTATTCTCGAGGTTTGAATATCTTCTCTCAGTCACGCTCTTGCAAGTCGCTATCTGTGTCCCCTTGGTTCCTTGACGTGTTTTTCCTGAGTCCCACAGTGAATGGCAATTCTACATTCCTACTTGCGTTGATAACTCAATCTTCCTGGACTAAGCACAGGTTTTCTCTTTTTCTGTTCAATCAGGTATACAGAGTTTCAGATATGGAGCTTGTGAGAGTACTTCCCAGTGCTGAGGATGAAGTGAATGTGGCGTGTTTTCATCCCCAAGTTGGTGGCGGTCTTGTATATGGAACAAAGGTGAGTTGTTCTTCTGTGTTCTGGACTAGTATTTAGATATATGTGTGAATCAGTTGTAGTTCTATACTGTTTGAAGATTCGTTATCTGAGATAAAGTGTTATTGTAATGAATATTCCATTTTGAACACACTCATTGGAATATCTCTTTCGCATGCATTGTATATACGCTCGTAAATGATGTCCAATACACCACAAGAAAAGTACCATTCATTCCACTGAACGCCAAACTTGAGTTTCCTTCATGAGTCAACATGAAACTCAACTAAGACTTACATTCAGGATGCCAATAAGTACCTCTTCAATCAACAAAATTTGGCATTGATACAGGAAGGAAAGCTCAGGATATTAAGACATGACCGAACGCCACTGTATTTGAATCCTCGTTCAGGATTAGAAGATGAACTACTTGAGGTGCTGCGTTTTACTTTTAACTCATATTGCTGTGTTTTCTCGAAGTCCTGATAGTCGCCAGGTTCTTAACCTCAGTCATCCGTGTTTTTTACATTGCTTCCCTGTTAGTGCGCGACTCTTTCTTCTGGTTTGTTCTTTGACATTTTCCATATGTTTATTGTGTGCTTGTGTGTTACTTTTATTGAAATGGTGGTTGTTTCGTTTTGTACATTCAATACCCTTCCAAGTATTTGTCAATGTCCTGTTGTATTTTATGAAAAACCCTAAAGCTGTGTACATGGTTTTTGGTATTGTGCCAGGCAGAGACCTTGGATCCGCTAAGCTTTGGAATGGTGGCCGACATCGGTAATACCTTGTGAAAGAAAATTTGAAGTTCTTCCAGTACTCTTGTACCAGAAGTGAGCAGAGGTGTGTATACTTGCCAGGTTTAGAGGCTCCTTTTTTGAAGTAGGCTTTGTTTGTTTTAGGTTGAGGAGCACTTACCAGATCAAGGAGCTGTATCGGGAACGTGACAGCTCAGAATATAGTACTGATCAGAATATTGGGGCGTAACGTCTGTCAAGGAAAAGGTATAGAAGTTACAAAAAGGATTAAAATACGATAGTCTGATTTACAGCATTATTGACCACTGAGCCGCACTGAACGTCTTGCCATGCATTATTTTAAGGCTGATGTCCTGTGATTCTTAGTATTGATCTCAACTCTTGCAGTGGAGTATTGCGGCTTGTGATTCTTTCGCACATACACCCATCCTGTCCAAAGGGCTTCAGCCGGCATACACTATGCTCCCGTTTACTTCAATTGTACTGTACAACTAGGAACCTCAGAACGTACCATTTTTGTCTACGACACGACTAATTGAATGCACAGGAATGTAAAGCTAATTTGAGGCCCATGGAATCTATTTACAACGAATACCGTCTCCTTGTTGGAGCAGTTAAACCCCTCGTCAGATCATCTGTGGTATTACTGAAGAAACTTTAGGAGTGCCATGTAATTTGCAACTCTTTTTCTTTCATTTCGTATCTTACTTTCTTTTATAGATGACACTGATTACTAGAGATGGCCTAATACTTCTGCTCAATTTTAAAATAATGAATACTTCTCGTCATTGTAAACTTACTCAGACAAATGTAAATCTCAATTATAATCAAAGATATGTGCAACTGTATTTTACTTCAGTCAATTCCTGTCTTATCATTTGTTTTACTTTCAATTAAGTCGGTCACTTCTTAAACATTGTGAAGAACCTGAAGAGGTTGTAAAGCATGATCAAAACAAATAACCACATGTTCTATCTTTAATCTTCAACCTTGATTACACACTAAAAGGAATAACCCATTCAACCATGCACTACTTTTTGTTGTTAAAAACAACTAAAAAGTGTGTTCATAACTGTCTAAAATAAGTAAATATAGAAAAAAAGTAATTATAGAGAACATGGGATACTGTATTTATATCTAATAAATTAGAACTGTATAAGAATATTTTTATTTAATATTTTTATATAAAATTTATTCCATCAAAATTTTAATTTAAGATATTGCACAATCCCTTCATTAAAACTTAGAACTTGCCAATGAATTGTAGTTTGTAATCAAATCTCGATGAGTAGCACATCATGACAATTAAATTGAAAACTGGAATAAATTTTGATCAATGAGGGAGCATCCAAAATGTTGTGTGTGCACTCTCAGAAAATAATATTATTAAATTCAAACATATTTTCGTTCAACTTCTCTCTTCATTAAAAGCACCACAAATTACTCTTAATTCAAATAAGATCAAGCATTTCCTTTTTCACCATAAAGAAATAAACCCCGAAAGAGATTGCTCACCTCTGCTGTGGAGAATATGACCTAGAATAGCAGCCAATTTTTAAGGAGGTAGCCGGGGGTATTCATTTAAACCAATGAATCACCATTACGTCAGAAAGCTGAGGTCCAAGACCTACAGGACCAAACTAGCCACCATTTTTCCACCGTAAAGAAGCTTTTCCTCATGGGTAGTCCACAAACTGCACTAGCATTGCAACGGTTATGAAACCTCGGCAGTTTGCAGTGCTAGCCAGAAACAGGCCCCATACATGAGCTTGGGCACCCACATATAGCATTGAAGGGGGAAGCAGTAAGACCTTGAAGCCCCTTCCTGGCAAGAATGCCGCAGTCTGTCGTCTTGCAGTGTGCTTGTGGACAAGGACTACCACTTCCAGCCACCAGCTCGAAAAATGTGGCCTTCGTGATCTCCAGGTGAAGCCTCTGTTTTCTTAAGTTGCGGACCATATCTTTTCTGTCAGATGTGCCACGTGCCCACTTTTTTGTGTGTGTGGGAACATACATATATATATATATATATATATGGGTATAGTAATATTTTGCTCAAGCGTCAAGGTTACAGGGCACAGGCTAATAGACTAGGTACATATCATGCGAGGTGTATACGAATAGCTCACAAGTCATAGACAACCATGCAGGATATTGATGAGTAATCCTTGGCAGTGAGTTAAAGCAGCGTGTCGACAAAGCATGTCGCAGACGTTTTTTTGCAGTTGCCGTGTCGGCTTCACTGCAGTCTGAGAAACTTTGTTCTTTAGAATCAAGTACTGGTGCGAAGACGGATTCTGATTGGAATGCACTGACTCCGATCTGGACCCAAAATGGAATTTGTGGATAAATGGACGTTTCATCGCTGCTTCCTCAAATATCCTTTGCAGCAACCTGCCTTTGAGGGGGAAAAAAAAAGAAAAAAAAAGAAAAAAACTGTGCACAAGTTGCCATTAATTTACAGACTCAAACAAGTTCTTGTGTGTACATGAAGTTTATACAAAAAGCTTGTCTCCCATCCTCGTGAAGGCATCCATGCACACATACTGAGAAAACTCATGTGCAAATTTCGTCCAGTGCACTGATCCAACTCTAGTTTCGAAGCCCCACTTCGTGATGCTCAATGCTCGATCTCGTCAGTCTGCCTGATCTCCACACACCCAACCACCTGAGCTTCCCTCGCTCGATCGCTAATCCTCCATTGCCCACAGAAAGTCCGCAACACCTGCTCTTGAGTTGTTGAGGTCGATTTATATGGTGGGGCGGGCCAGTGACGGGGCTCCGCAGGACTCAGGTCTCTGACACGTCGGATTAATTGGACTAATCGTTTTATAACACGTGTTCATATGGCTGGCGTGGCAGTCGCTGCCACTGTGCACGTTGGACGCCACGTAGGTCCTCCCGCCGTGGGGAACTACGTGGCTCAAGGCAGCCAGCGGAGACGATACCCTCGTTGGGGGGTCATGAGACGGGTGTCAACTGATCCAGCATATCGTTGCCTGAGGTTAGCATGGCAGGGTATCGAGCACGCGTTCTATTCCCTTTCCTAATAATATTTATCATCTATACCTTATGGATAAGTATATATATATATATATATGTATATTTTAAATTATAAAAAAAAGATATAAATATTAAAAATAATATTATTTCTATGGTTTTAATTTCTTGAACTCCTTTTCATCTAAAAAACTTGACATTCAAAAATTCTAAGAACAAGATCCATTGAGAAATGAACAATTTGGAATAACTGTAAAGTTCGGCCATGATTTTCTCATTTTTCTTTTAATGGAAGTCAGTCTCACACACCAATGTATTTTTAAAACTTAGGAGATATATGCATCCTTATAGAGAATACTCCAGAGAGATGGGAAAAGTAAAGAAAAAGAAAAGAGAGAAAAAAAAAATAATAATAAAAAATAAAATGTGGCATTGCTTGGCATGCCTTCTTGGTGGGTCATTGGCATTGTGAAGAGTGGTATCCTAAAACACCTCATTTTTCACTATTGTGCATAGTTGGCATTTTGACAATTATTTTAAAAAAATGTGGTGTGTAAAATTAATTCTAGAGATGGGCCGTATTAAAAAAAGATGCCCAAATAGTATCACAATGATTTTTTTATTTTATTTTATTTTATTTTATTTTTATCTTCATTTGTGAATAGATTTTGGGCAATTTAACAATTTTTTTATATGCTTGCCCTTGCATGTATCTTCCTACTAAGATCAAAACTAAGTGGCAAGAGAAGCAAAGGCTAAGAAACCTTGGCCAAGTAGAAAGATCAAAACTAAGTGGCAAGAGAAGCGAAGGCCAAGAAACCTTGGCCAAGTAGAAAGAGGGTTAAGACAGGCTAAGAAGATAGGTAAAACTTAAAAAATTGCATAGATGGCCAAAATCTAGTGCCTCCCAAATCCATTGCTATTACTATTAATCCTCCTAGTTAATGACTTCAATATTTAATCTTATATGATTAATATTGATTTTTGTTTTGTCTCGCTTGTTGCCTATGAGGTAGACAAGAGACTAATACTTATTCAATGCCAAGTTACCAAGGTACAAGTTAGGCACCTTTTTTGTTATAATGTTAAGAATATATTAATGCATCATCTTCTACCCTCCAAGTATATTAACAAAAGGATTGGTAGATTGAATCAAGACTAATAATGAATATTAGGAAAATAGAGGATTAAACAAGAAATAAGAAACATAAAATTCATGACTCACTTGATAAACTTCATAAGAACTTAAATATATTTTGGTTGAGAGCAATTTTTGTACAAGTATATAATGAAGCACAAAATGTGCACCTTTACTTCAAAGAATTTATGGCACTTAATGCATTGATTTCAGTTCTTATTTACATTAGAAGTAGGTTTGTTTCATAAAGGTACTTGAAATTTGAAGATAATTAAACAAAACTTAAAATTTCTATTTATGTGATAGAAATATTTATTAATTAATGCAAGTTAACATGTTCTAATTACAGTATGAGTTGATATAATTTAAGTTGCAATAGCCAACAAATTCCATCAATTCTATTGTGTTTTATTTTTAAAAAGTGTTTAAATTATCTTTTGTTCATTTATTTATTTAGTTTTTAACAAAAAACATGCCATAATATTTGATACTAACATATTAAGACATGACAAATTATGTATTCATAAACAAGTATCACACTTACAGTCAAGACAAGACATAAATCTAAATTCAAATCTGATTTAAAAAAATGTACTGAGCTAATCAATTAAAGTTTTATAGAAAGATGTAGATCTTTCTGTTTATTCAATGGTAGTCAATGAAAAATTTAATGATAATCAAATTATTATCCTAGAAAAGATAAAAAATGAAAACATATTTTTTATACTTGAGAAATACTAGATGCAATATAGTGTATGAATAATTCACCAGTACTCATTTTTAACAGGTATAAATTTTCAAAACAAACTTAATTTTCAATATATCACTAATCTGAAAACACACTAAAACATCACTTCATTTTATCCCAAATAGAATACAACCAAGCTAATGTATCATACCTTGGATCTTGTTCTTTTAGGAAACATCGATTTGCACCCAAAAATAACTAATCTCAAATTTATCAAAATCATCAAAAATCATATAGCTTTGAATTTCACTATTAAAAAATAAAATAAAATGTGGTATTGGATTTATGTTTGATTCAACAGCCATAAATTCATACTCAACATCAAGGCCAACATCTAAAAGTTTTGTTTGCAGGCCATGGACCAATCAACTGTTCTATCATACATTTTATAACTCAAATCAATAAACAATCTATCTTCAGGCATTTGGTCAACACACTTTTCTTATGTACGATGGCATGTTCTTCTGCAGCACAGATTGCCACGGTCGAAAAATAGCGATGATCACCATTGTGTGGTAGCTGTAAGCACGTAATGCCATTACCATGTATTCGAAAATGGTGGGCATGATTTTTGTAGGACCATTTCCAGAGCTACAGAACAAAGTCTATGGAAATGCGGCACAGAGTTCTGAAGAAAGCAGCTGCAGCTATGACCGTTGCAGCAATCGGGGTGCTGGTATTTAACATCACTGAGAATGCACAAACAAAGCAGAGAGGGCTTAGAAATTTAACACGAGCAGTTTCCAGTGGATTACTAAGTAAGTTGCATATAAAATTCCAATATCCTCATCCCGGACATTGCAAAGTAGTTTCAGAAATAAAGCTACCCACATACGCTACAGCAACAAGTCAAGTGCTGAAATCCTGGTATTGATGACAAGTATCTCTTATTTGCAGCATAAGTGTAATCCAATACCCCAAGAAAAACGCCATACCTTTTAAAGCTACGGTATTAGATGACAACACAAGCATGTCAATGATAAGCGTCATCAGAGGTGAATATTCCCAAACCTGCCATCCCATCATTTACAAATTTTTTCATCGACGGAGCAATTTCATAGCATGCTGTGTAACTAAAGGCTACAAGCATTTGAACCTCTTAAGCTTCACAGCGCATCAATGGAACGTATCTCACCATCATTGCGAATACAAACATCTTGAAATAGCTTGAAAGCGCTACCGCCATAAGCAAATCTGTCCATCTGAAGCAACCCATGACAATCAGAATGCCAATGTTGTATGTTCTAAGTTTGGTCAATAAAAACGACCGTAGCAAAGAAGTGCTTCAGGCGTTACTGTTGAGTGAATTGACTTACTTGGACTTCGCATGTGGCCCTAGATTTGGTAGTGCATAAGCTAATGCCAATACAGTAATTAAGAACACCACATTCGCCAGTCCTACTTTGGCCAAAACCTGCAAAATTACACCAGCAGGGATAATATGTGCGTCCACACACTGGAATTCGAACCCAGAATTACGAACTGCTAAAAGATCAACACGTGATAAAATCATAGTATAAACATTATGTTGAATGCTTCGTAACATCTGGTGCACACACTAACATATGAGGTGGAGATAGAGACAGACCTTCCCTGCAGTAGAGAGAAACAGAGAGAGGCTTTCCCACCGAACATCTGTCTTCCCTACACCTCGTAAACATAGTTTACCTGAGAAACCGCGACAGAGCTCGCTTCAGGATATTTCAATCCATATTGGCATGAATGACTAATGTGTTTGACAGACATTTGATTGATCAAAAATATATATAACTGTAACTCACATAGCCGGAATTATTCTCAACTACGGTAGGTAACAAATATGTAAGAATGAAGACGAGTCCACGATGGCGTAATAAACAAAATCATATTTTGAAGAACATCGTACATTCAATGGAGGGCACTGAGGAGTTCGAGATTATGTACATGAGTCTAGAAGTAGAACAAGGAGGCTCGTCTTCCACACGAATTCCTGCTAATAAGGGGGATTTACAGACGATGTAAGCAAAGATTTATGATACGACATGAAGCTCACCCTAACTGGCAATACCTTAGAACTGTCATTAGCAACGATAGAAAAAACAAACAACGAGGAAAAAGTGAAGATTACCAGCATTTTAAGCTTGTGAAGGAGGGGGTAATTGAAGAAGATATGCCGATAAGCCTCAGGCTTGTGCAGAATCAAATCAATCACCACTATCTGTGACAAAATAATTATACATTCTTCAAACTAGCATCTCTCCATGGTATAGTGCAAATTAAAGATAAACCCTGACTTAGATTATCAAGCTTGATACAAAAATGATTTCTCTTTCCTCTTTAAGCTCTTCGTTTCCATCACATAGCAACAAGGAATGCTAGACATGGTTTTATGATGAACGACTCTGCGGTAGGAGATGAGAAAAACTGAATCCTAGAAGTCAACACATTCTTTACTTGAAGAAGAATTTGACGACGAAGCAATTGGTTAAAGATGGTGTCTACCAAGGCAGCTATCCCCTAAATAGAGGTATTACGTTCTGTATTTATTTATTCATTCATTTAGTTGGTTAGTTAGTTGTTTGTTACCTCTAAGACCCTAAACAAGCGTGGATGATGTAAATGACCACGAAGACGCAGCTCTTCCTGGTCGAAATTTATTATTCTGAATCCTGGATTGGCTTGGAACTGATTAGATCGAAGTACTCATCGGATTCTTGCAAACAAAACTGCAGTACTACACACAGACAGGTTCAACAAGTTCTATCAGCAAAGAACCCGTCGGGACTCGACTGAGATTTGTCTCAAACAGAGAGGAAGGAGCATTGAGTCATTACCATAATCTCACACTCTACATACTCGTCAGCCACGAATCCACATTTAGCCTGCATCAAGTATGTAATCCAGTAAGCTTCGGAAAAATGTAAACTCAACCACTCGACTCCAAGCGCAAACTATAACGAGAGAGTGTAAGTGATCGCCATACGCATTCAGAGAGACGAATGTTGCCGGGGGAATACTCCACATATACGGCTGCCACTGGAGTTCCACAATGCACACATCTCATGGACGCATCCGCACCCAACTTCCCCATCCTGCCTCTCCTCCTTTCTTTGTGCGCTTCTCTCCCTCAATCCTGCACTGCGCTCATCCTCTTGAAACCGACACTGGTTGCAATGTCCTTGTCGCAAACTATGAGTGATCGACTTGAACAACCCACTTTCTACTGCGTCGCTCCACGGTTGCACACATTTTCATCTTCGAAATCGTGATTAAAGACCTTTCAATGAAATGCCCTTCCCTCAACTTGACTACACTACTAAAAACCTCAAGCCCTGTCACCGACGATCATGGAAGAATAAAGAACCCTTAGACTATGTATAGATTTAGGTGCTAGAATGTACTTGTGAAGCACATTTTCAGGTTTCCCTCGCCTCTCGAACGAAAAGCAAGTTTCCAACCACGCGCTAGCTTTCAAGGTGAAGTTGGGTTTTCGTTGCAATTGACGATCGTCGGTAACATGACTCGTAAGCGTCGAAAGTGGTGGCACTGATTGCAAGCTTTGCATAGGAGTGGTATGGGGTTTCGCAGACCGGTTTGTTTCTGCATCTCGTGCGCAATCTCCGTTTAGACCAAGCCAGTGAAGCACTGTGTTCATTGTTTTCAGTGAGGACCATTCTCATCAGAGGGAACTCCATGTCATTCAGCCTTTCATCAGCCTCCACGGCTTCATGAAGTGGGAGTCTACATCAAACTTGACTGATGTATTAGGGATTACTCGTGAAGATGGGGAGAGTTCGTGGCCATTTGTTTTTTCCTGTCGATTTATACATCGTGAGGATCATGCCAGACGAATTGTTCCATGCCGAGCGTTGGGCTCCGACCACTTCTTCGGAGCTTCATGTACATTGTTCCGCGCGTTTGCCGATGCTCGGATTGAAAATTGGTGGTGATGGAATGAGAATTGTAGCGGACGAGGTTTAAAATTTAGGATTGTGTTAGGTCATGAGGAAAATACGGGATTGATCAGGGTAGGATTGCTCATATAATTTCATCATTTTTGTATTGTTGTTGCAGTGTTCGGGCCATCAATTGTTAGGAAATCTCTGTTTCTTGCTGTGGTTGAAGAGTTCAGGGTTTACTATCAAAATTCCGGAATGAGAAAAGTGAGGAGGTTTTATTGTTTGTTGCAGAGGTTTCAAATTCGAATGTTCGCCGAAGTTGATGACTTCCGGTGGCTGCAAATGCAGTCTGAGCATGTGATTATATTGCCATTTAAGCAGGATTTGGTAGTTAAATGTGCTGCCCTGGGCTTGTATGCGGTGCCAGAGCTAAATTAGGTATGCAGGCTAAGTATCTCTTGTTACTGGACCGCTTGCAACTTTGCAGAATACTATCTGAACCGAAGGAATTAAGATGCAAGAAAGCACCTAAATCGTCTTACCTCGGGATAGGCTGGTGGAATCCTACCACGCTCGCCAATCTGAGGCTTATTTCATACCATTTGAGTAAGTATGTAAGCTTGCTTTGAGACCTGGATGCTGTCGTGTTTGCATTGCGAGATTACCTGTCGATTGTGGGCATTTTCAACCGAGACTTCAGAGATGGGGTTATTGCATTGTGGTGACGCTGCAAATCGTTTCACAGCAGAGCTACATTCTGTTTTATGGATGCTCAACTCCCTGGATCATGTCTTCTAAACATCATGTATTCTGAATATCATGTATCATCTTGTGCCCAGGTTTTTTTAGCTCTATCTGTTCAACCTGGATTCATGATAATCAAAGACGGTAGCAGTTTTATGGATGTTCGGAACAGGGAGCATACTTGAGAGGTAATCGAAGATTATTCTATGCCTGGAAGGTCACCGCGTTGATGAAAACATGGTCTTAATTGAAGGGTGTCTGTAAATATGAAAAGTGATTTTTTTCTGTCTTAAGGTCTGAATTATCCCTTGTTAGACTTGACTGTGACTCACAATTGGAAGCATTCACCACTTTCAAAGAAATGTCGTGCACAATAGAGTAGGCTGTTGGAACCACACAAGGTGGATCAAGTGGCTGGAACGCAAGTTGGCCATGGTTGTAGTCGACTTCTTTTGCAAATTCAGAACAGTTGGCGGAACTAGAAAATGTGTTATTGCAAATCTACAATTCCATTATAATGTGAAAATGTTTTCACCGTGATCTTGTACCGAGACGTGGGTGTCTAAAACACAAGCCTAAGCTGAACCTTTAGTCAGTGTATGTGTTCCTCACTGGGGATTGCTCCTAGGTGCCAAGTCTGTAACCATAGATCTTTATACTTAAATTTGAAACAATAGAATAGCTGAAGTTGCACATAATTGAACAGAACGAATCACCGAGAATGTTGTTTGCTGGATAGTAGAGTTTCCAGTCCATGTATTGAGATGATAAAGTATCCTTCAATACTACAATCATTCATGCTGAAAGGAAAGTTTTGTTGTGGGTCAACATCGAAGATGCAATGGTCACAGGTCTCCCACACCAGACAATGACCCAGGAGCTTCTTTTTTACGTATCCATACAACATTAATTTGTGCAGACTGTGTGTTAGAGATCCAGGGGCTTCCCTTGTAAAGCAGCTATGAAGCTCCCTTTATCTTTTGTCGGTGGAGCATCGGCAAAGACACAGTGAGTAAGTGAACTCCAACTCACTCTTCAATTCCTCTCTCAAATGCTCATTTCAACATTCGTCTTGGTTTTGTTGGCTTGGTCTTGTTGATATCTAACCACCCAAATGTGTTGGTGTTGTGTAATGAAGGATTGGATAAAGCAAAACAACTCTTGAACTTGAACGATTTTGGTTGGAATGTTGAATGTTTGCAGTTAATTGTGATGTTCTTGTGAAAAGACTGAGGATTTCTTGCAGATTGTGTGCTTTGATGTATTTGAGAAAAATATGATGAAAGTATGATTTTGTTTCAAGTTGCAAAAGACAAGTATTGTCAAGGTGTATAGTTGACTTGGATTAAGCATAATTTTAATATTCTTACTATTGTCATATTTAATATATATATATATATATATATATATATATAAGGAAATGTTAAATAGATCCAGGATTTTACTAAATTTAGCCGCCTATTCTAACCATCATGAAAAAAACATGACATTTAGATTCATTTTTCTATTGTTGGATCCAAAATCAATATAAACCAATTGTATTCATCATGATTATCATATTCTTCATTATGGATAGGTTGATGTAGTTAAAATTAGGGTCTATTTAACATTTCCATGTACATCTATATATATATATATATATATACACACATACATCTTCAATACGAATTTTAAAATTAAAAAATGAATATTTTTACTAAATTATTATATTTCTTCTTTGATAGAAAAAAAGAGTTTATGGCAAAATTTGAATGGTGTTATATAAAAAAAAATACCAAAAATAATCTTTTAAAAGATGTCATTGCATAAAAGTACATTATATGGTAAGGAATTAAAGAAATAAAAAAAGAATATTAGAAATAATAGTGGATGAAAGAACAAGTTTTTAAAATAAATAATAATTAATTTATATTAATGTATTTAGTGACCAAAAAATATATGCATAATTTTGATACATAAGTGATAAATTGTTGCTCTAATTAAAATAATCATGGTTTTTATGCATTGATAATAATTCTATATGCATAATATATTTATGAAGTATGTATTAATTTAATTCTTTTGAATTCAAAAAAAATAAAAAGATTAAAAAAAAGAATAAAATTGGTTGACATATCACCTAAATAATAGTATAAATTCTTAAATAAATTATTGAAAAAACTAGTTCTATTAGATAAAAATTATTAAAAACTTTTAAAATTAAAATTATTGTTATTATTATTATTTCAATTTTTATTTTAATTATTTCATTCACAAGCAATAAGAAAAACAAGAGAAGTTAGCATAACCAATATATTATAATACTTATTGAATTTTAGTATTAAATATTTTTTAATATTTTTTTTATGTAAATTATCTTGAATTTAATTAAAGATTATAACATAATGTTTATAATTCAACTATATATATATATATATATATATATATATTTTTAACAATTTTCATAGTATGAAAAAACTAAATTGAGTAAAAAATTTCTATTATATTCATAAGAAATATTGTTTTAATTATTTTTACAATTAATTTTGTAAAATATTTAATTGATTCAAGTAAATCTTAAATGGGCTCTTCTTTCCTCATACCATTCTAAACTACGACATGCAATCCTCACTAATCTGCAAAAGATCATCTTCTCTCACTAATTCCTTTATTTTGCATCTATAGAGTATTTTTCTTCATTCACTAATATTGATAAGATAGCCAAGGACTTTGTAGATTTTTCAACCAATTGTCAAAGTAGAGTTGAATCACTCAAATTCTTTAATGCAAGATTAGCTTCAAAATTCATTCAATAAATGTTGAAGCCAAATTCATATGATCCAAGAATGACCCTCTTCAAATATGCAAAGAATGTATGATGTGGTATAAGATAATAAGAGAAAAGGTGGATCAATGTAGGATTTTCTTATGTCAATTTAATATTTTAGTTAATTTTGTGTTATAAAATAAATAAATAAAAATACATATATAATAGTATATTATATTAGGTTTTATTGTTTGGGACTTATTTATTACTTTGTTGTAAAGTTTTGATGGAAAATTGATATGAGTTCTTTATTTAGTCCAAAAATGATTGACATGAAGTACCATTAAAATCATGATTTTTATAATTGGTATATATATATATATATATATATATATATATATATATTTATAGTGTAATGGAAATCAGGTTAGTTTGTGTTGAGATCATTAAATGTAGCCAGCGCTCTCTATAATATTTACTGTAGACTACAATAAATACTATAGCTATAGTATTTAGAGTCTAATGAAGAAGTACTGTTTATCTTCTCTCCTTTTCTCTTTTTGTATATGAGATACAACAAGATCAATAGAATTTTATATGTGAAGCTCTTTCTTCTTAAAAACCCTCTTGTGTGTATGACTTACTACTACTCTTGTGTGTGTGTATTATTTACTATTACTCTTATGTCTTTCTAAATATTTTTAACATATTATCAACACGACTCTCTTCTACATACTATCATAATTTATTTTTGCTCTAATCTTGACTCTTCAAACTTGTTGCTAATCTTGTTCAATGTCTGCCTTATGAACTTGCTGCTCTTCTTGCTAGCCTCTCACACATTAATTGCTTGCTTAGAGCATTAGTTCTACTCTCTGCTTTACTTGCTTAAAATACTTGTTTAGAATATTTGATCCAGCCCAACTTCACC